TATATATTAGTTTACTTCATTACCCATTCAAGCCGTCTCCAGCCATTATTAGTACTAGTATTTGTTTTTGTTGATCTACTACATACCTTAAGATATATGAAAAATCTGACTAAGCAAGTTATTCTGCAAAGATGACACTTTGTTTGCAAGTGTTTCAGTTAATAAAGATTTTTCAATTCAAATTGAAGTATGCTAAGTTGCAACGCAGATTTTTTTTCTAGACCACAAATACCTTTACTGTAAGTTATGTTATTTAACACTGTTCAAGACACGCGCTGTAAAACATTGTAACAGAGACTTAGACATTCTCCCATCCTTTATAACGTTATACAATTTTTAAATAGCCCCTAACCTTCCGTAATACAACTGTGCTTGGTTAAAAGAGAATATGCTGTCAAAAGTAACCTTAACATGAAAATGAATCGGGAAAACAGAGTCAAAAATTAAAGTATTAACTTTGAACAGAAAATAATCACAATTTGAGTAATTTTCGTTATTGTTTACTGGACATCTCTTCCAGGATTAGTTTGTCCATTTCTCCGCCTTTGTTTTTTTTTTCAAAATTTTTAGGTGATATCAAGGGATTTTTTTTGGATAACTAAATCTCTATTATGGTTTACTATATTACCTTACTATCTTATGTAACTTCCTGGATAGTTGGGATGTATTAAGTGACATGACATATCTCTTATTCCATTTCAGCTTCGTAATCTATATATCCATCATACCTAATTTTTAGAATCTTTTCTACATCCTTAACCTCCTTTTTTACTAGAATTATAATTTAGATATATTCAATTTTCAAAAATACTTATTTATATCTCCTCCGCCCCTTTCTTCATTCCCAGAATAACTTTGTCCACTCCTCTTTCTTTTAAAGATCATCTTCTATACACACAGCTTACTCTTTTCTTGAGAAATATTCAACACGTTTTATTTTACATATTCTACAACTCCATCTTCTTTTTTCAGGACCATCTTTTACATCTCAATACTTTATGCAGGAGGAAACATCGTCTTAGCACTGGCATCTATTCCAAATTTTCTTCCAATGATGTAAGTTTGATGTAATCGCGAATGAGATCAGCTTCCAATTTAGTCAACATTTTCTCCAAAAATACTAACTTTACAATAATACTAATTGTGTACAATAAGTTATATGTGTGCGTGTATATATATACATGTATATCGATTTTTATAGGACGTTTTATAAATGATAACTTTAATTACTCTGCGTAAATACAACAACACATTTCCTTGTTATAGTTAATAACATTGACAATGTTCAAGCTACTTCAATAACGATAGCGGTCTGTGATTCTCGACAGAAAGTACGTTAGAGAGAGAAATTACTTTGAAATGCAACTAATTGAAAGAAAAATGTGAAAAAAATAATCAAACTATGATGTCTACTTGAATCAAAACGAAAAATACAATTCAGGGATAAATGTGACAAACGTTAGGTGTGTTATCTTTTACGTAGTCTATAACTATCTATGCTGGATTATTGTTTATTACAAATTCTGGATGATGTTTGAAATTTTAATCTTCAGTTTTATGATGACACATAGCTATTTATACAATATTATAAATATTAATATAAACTTCATACATAAAGTAATGACCCATCATAGCTTGTTGAACACGTAACTGTCATTCAAAAGGAAATAAAACACAGAAAGGTCTGACATATCACTTGTTAAGTCTTTTCGTAAAACTGTGTAATGAATAACTAAATACGTGATACGTTCTTTCAATATGAATCTCACATAAACATGCCTTATGACCAAATATTACTCACAAACCTACAATATTTTAAATAAAAAATTCACCTACAAACATGTAACATTTTAATATAGAATTCCCTCTACATACATGTACCATATTACTACAGTTTCTCATCTAAATACGCATAACGTTTTTAATACCAAATCTACATAAATGTAACATTTTATGCAACATCTCTTCTACGTACGTTAACATATTAAAACAAAATCTCTTCATCAGGTGAGTAACAGTTTAATATAAAATCCCATTTACGGACATGAAATATTTTAATACAGATTTTCATTTATAATTATATAAAATTAATACAGAATCTGGCCTACAAATATGCAACATTCAAATGGCCTTCAGGTGTGAAATCAAGAGCTTTAAGGTTTTATCAAAAACCAGAGTAAAGGTGACGTCCAAATCCATAAGTGTGCTGCAGTATTGTTAATTCTAGTAATGTTAGTCAATAGGGGTAAGAAACTGTTTCGGTTGCTATTAGTAGCTGATATAACATATACAACGTATTGTTTCTCTATCTTATCATATCGTCTCCTCTTGAGATGTATCTCTGCTTTGCAGACTCTATTCACAAGGTTATTTGTGAACAGTTACCATTATCATCAAATTACCATTACTTAAATGAAGAGTTTGTTAGTTTTTTGTTTTTTTTTGCTACTGTTAGTTAGTGTTATTATCATTTTCTTATGAGAACGGTTTATCTTAAATATCATCCGAAAACAAATATGTTCGTGTACGAGGCAAACAATATAGCTTTGAAATTCAACTTTTAACAGGTAAACTGACTTTCATGGCATGGAATAACGGGTAATTTGTGCTGGTGATGCATGTTATCTCTGTAGTTGTTATCCTTGATCCTTCAACTTTTAACAGGTAAACTGACTTTCATGGCATGGAATAACGGGTAATTTGTGCTGGTGATGCATGTTATCTCTGTAGTTGTTATCCTTGATCCTTCAACTTTTAACAGGTAAACTGACTTTCATGGCATGGAATAACGGGTAATTTGTGCTGGTGATGCATGTTATCTCTGTAGTTATTATCCTTGATCCTACAACTTTTAACAGGTAAACTGACTTTCATGGCATGGAATAACGGGTAATTTGTGCTGGTGATGCATGTTATCTCTGTAGTTGTTATCCTTGATCCTTCAACTTTTAACAGGTAAACTGACTTTCATGGCATGGAATAACGGATAATTTGTGCTGGTGATGCATGTTATCTCTGTAGTTGTTATCCTTGATCCTTCAACTTTTAACAGGTAAACTGACTTTCATGGCATGGAATAACGGGTAATTTGTGCTGGTGATGCATGTTATCTCTGTAGTTATTATCCTTGATCAACGATACGTAACGTTTCGTCTAAACTCACTTTTATAAGTTAAACCTATAAAACACCCGAGTAATGGGTGCAATATTACCCCAAAACACTAGATAATATATGTAACATTTCCTCAAATTCACTCGCTCACAGTGTGTAACATTATACAAAATACTCGATTAATGTGTAAAGCTTTACCTCAATACATTGAGCAATATTTATAACATTAAACCAAGACACTCCAATAATGGGTGTAACACTACCACAAGGTAATCAAATAATGGATATAACAATACTCAAAGACAATAGAGTAATGTGTATTATGTTTAGCCTTATATTATCATTATTTCAGACCTATATCGATGACAGGTTTAGCACTCATAGCGATCGGTACTGGTGGTATAAAGCCTTGCGTGTCTGCTTTTGGAGGTGATCAATTCGGCCCTGGTCAGGTGGGTTTTAAATCTACATTTGTACTTAAGAGATTTAACGAACTACATCTTTCGAATTTTAGTGAAAAAAGAAAATGAATTTCAAAAGCTAAATTCACTCTCATTATATGAATTGTGTTCAGACAGAAACTCAACTTTCTTTCCCATGCACTAGGTATGCTTAAATGACCACCATTGAATAATCGTGACACAGGACTCTCTGTCCTTTGCTAACAGCATTAGAAACAGGATAATAACCGTCCACTGCTAGTGGCGTTAGAAACAAGACAATATCAGTCCACTTATAGCAGCGTTAGAAACAGGACAATGTCAGTCCACTGATAGCAGCATTATAAACTGGACAATATCCGTCCGCTGTTAGCGGCATTAGAAACCGGACAATATCCGTCCACTGCTTTAACCTGTATAATTAGTTAACTTCTACGGAATCCTTTTGACTTAGAAATTTGACGATATATATATATATATATTTGTACATAACTAAACGACGCGGTCTTCTTAGAGTATAGGTAAAAGTGAAAACTGCTGGACACAAATTTATTGTCGAAACCTGGCTACCAAGAAATGTATATGGAATCCTTAATTTACAGTATCTTGTAAAAAAAGTATTACCTTTAAGTAATTTCTTGTTGGTTAGTATATTATGTTCTCATGATTTACATATTCAGGAACGACAACTCCAAAGGTTTTTCTCCCTCTTCTACCTTTCTATCAATGCAGGAAGTCTCCTTTCTACTTTTCTTACACCCATTTTAAGAGGTATGTGATAGTTTTTATCACCCAGAAACTGTTTCACACGTAATAATTGTTTCTGTTTTTGGTTCTGTAATCTATAAAACCACAAAATATAGCTTAGTTATCTACATTTTCTAAACAAACAGCTAATCACCGATTACATCTTAGCTACCAAGAAACCAATATAATGGGTCTAGTTACCTAGAAACCAACGTGATACATGTACTAATCTAGAAAATATAGTGCAGTTTAGTTATCCAAAAAAAACTACATGATCTAATCAGTAATGTAATTACATAATACAGCCTAGAAACCAATATAATAGGTGTAGTTACCTAGAAACCAACATGATACATGTACTAATCTAGAAAATATAGTACAGTTCAGTTATCCAAAAAAACTACATGATCTAATCAGTAATGTAATTACATAATACAGCCTAGAAACCAATATAATGGGTCTAGTTACCTAGAAACCAACATGATACATGTACTAATCTAGAAAATATAGTGCAGTTTAGTTATCCAAAAAAACTACATGATCTAATCAGTAATGTAGATCATGGCATAATACAGCCTAGAAACCAAGAAACCAGTATAATAGGTCTAGTTATACAGAAAACAACATAACAGTGATATTATACTGAGTAATATAGAAGATCCATAATACAGCCTAGTTATCAAAAAAACTATATTATCTAACCAGTAATCTATATAATCACTTAATACAGCTTCTTTATCCAAAAACTACATGACATCTAGTAAAATAGATTCCCACTTACTATAAACTGGTGATCTAGGTTATTGCCTAGAAATTTAGAAACAATATAATACACCCTTCAGTATTTTGGAAAAGTTCTTTGACGTGTGTTTGTGTTCCATGAGACATATCCCAATAATGTATTAATTCTAATAATCTAGTTCATCCACAGACTATTTTCCCTGTTATCTAAGAATAAATGCCTTAAGTTACAAATCTTCATGCATACTTTCAAATGCAATATGTCAGGCACTAGATGTGAAATTTTATCTAAACGCCCAGATTTGAAGTTAGACAGAAAGTTGGAACGACTTTATTCGGGTTTTAAGTGTTCGTTAACAGAAGATCTCCATTACAAAATTTGTTGTTGTTTTTTTTTCTTATGACTAGCTAATTACTGTTTATGGTCATTTTCAACTTACCGCAATAAAATTCGAGTGTGAATCATTTTTAAAGTTTATTTTATTTAATTGTATAACTCATGTTTCCAAACACTAAATGCCCTAATTCTTGTGTAGCGGATATCCATTGTTTTGGTAATGAAACGTGTTATCCTCTCGCTTTTGGAGTTCCTGCTGTTCTTATGGTCATCGCTGTAGGTAAGTAGCTCTCCTTAACATATTAGTTTACAAGAAAATCTTGCAGTAAGGATAACCTTCTTTAGACTTTCACACGAATAATGCTGAAAATAAGAGCATTTCACGAAGAAAAGCCCTGAATTATAAAACAAGGGAATTCATGAAACTTTTACAAGTAATTTGTAAAATTATTCTATGAAATAGTCCTTTTTTTCATGAGTCTTGTTTGTATTTACACATACATTTTGTACAACCAAAGGACACTTCAGACTGCTATGGTCCCTGGAATCATGTCGGTACAAAATAGACGTTATTTTAATCAGTCGATGTATTAGATAGAAACAAATGTAGGATCTAATTTCCATAATTTTGTTTCGATCGATACGTTATTCTGATAATGAAACCTTCTGTACTTTGCTAATACATTTAATTATAGTACAACTCGAACGATATTGTTTTGTCTACTAAGCTAGCTCATGAAACAAACATCTATTTTTAGGCACTTTGTAAATATATTGTATTCTGTTCTTTTTTTAAAAGTTAGTTGCATTAACATAAATGGTTAAAATGGTTAATATATACGATATTACTGTTTATTATATTATCATCTCCTAACTGTTGGACGAACCCCATGAAATATTGTTGTTATTACAGCCAAAAATATTTTTAAAAGTGAAGGTAGTGAATGAACTGCTGAATCAATGCACCATAAGAAATTTAAGGTTTTGTATTATGAACTTCAATACACATAGTTAGAACATTTTATTAAATTAGCTAGATTAATTATTGGGATAATTTTAGGTTCTAGTATATGGAGGTAACTTGCTTTGATCAGAAGATAAAAAATATTTTTTTATATTTTATAATAAGACTTTAAGAGTGATGTTTTGAATATCTTACAAACATTTTGTGCACATTATAATACGATTTCAGAGACAAGGTTTATGTCTATTAAGAACTTTCTAAACATATAAGGAATAACGTTGCTATTTATTTTTTTATCATTGAAAAACCTTTATTAAAAATTTACAAAACTTTTGCAATAAGCCTTAGTTTCTTGTTTGTTATTAAACATAAAGCTATACAAGGAATTATCTATGCTGTGCCCTTAGTGGGCATTATATATGTTCTCTGGCTTACCGTTGAGACACAGAAAAGGTAATATACATTATGATATGCAAGATTTACTCAAATATGGCCCGTGTTTGATTAATATGATTCAACTGACTACAATAAATATCAGTTAATAATAATACACAAATAAACATTGACTATACTATATGTTAAGTACACATTAAAAATATTTATTATATGATAATATATATTCAAATATTCCTAATGTCTTATTTTAAATACATTTTCAACATAAGTTTTTGATTTATGTTTGTGACCTATAAATCAGTACTGAACCTGTTGATTTTGTATGTACAATGTATACTTACAATTTCAGCAGTATCAAAATATGTAATTAGTTCTTGTCCATTTATTAAATACATTTAACTCTTCATTCTTCAGCCAGATTTCTGTAAGGACTATATTATGAACTTTCTCTAGAATTAATTGTTAATATACACGAAAAAAAAATCAATATTCATATTTAAACTACGTACATTAATTATATATAAACCAGAAATAATGTTATTATAAGGATTGCCGATTCTTGATTCTTGAATTACCATACTAAATTAGATATCGTGATTTTAAAACCTATTTCACAATTTATAAAATATTGTTGAGTCTTAATTCTTAATAACTTTTAATTTTCTAGTTTTCTCACAAGGACTTTCCCTTACATAATTCAAACAGATTTATAAACTTCAAAACATTTTTTTTCAACACTATTATACGATCTCCATTTATAAATACAAGACAATCTTTGTAGTGCTCATTACTGTCAGGCCTTTTAATTACTTTCTTTACTTCTTGTTGAAACTATTTATTTCTGATATGTCTTATTCATACGTTACACTACAGTTGATCTAGTTTCTTGTTTGATGTTCCTGGAGTTGCAAGACAATCTTTGTAGTGCTCATTACTGTCAGGCCTTTTAATTACTTTCTTCACTCTTTGTTGAAACTATTTATTTCTGATATGTCTTATTCATACTGTTACGTCTCCGTGTGTTAATTGATTTTCCGTAACTTCGTACCGACGAAACTTAAGCGACACAAGTCTTTACTTAATAAAACTGGTTTATTCTTTCCGAATATAACTTAACCGATACATTCAACAATCGCGCTAAACAAACGCTATAGCAACGAACGTCAATAATACTCCGACCGCAGATCAATTACTCACTATTCACTCACACGCATTACATTACCTTCTTTTATATACCAGCCTACCCTCTATATAGTCAATACTAGAGCATTCGCCAAGATACGGGATAGTTCTAGAAACAAGAGATCGTGAGAATTGTCACGTGATCTCGATGACGCAACAATACGTTACACTACAGTTGATCTAGTTTCTTGTTTGATGTTCCTGGAGTTACAAGACACTCTTTGTAGTGCTCATTACTGTCAGGCCTTTTAATTACTTTCTTCACTCCTTGTTGAAACTATTTATTTCTGATATGTCTTATTCATACGTTACACTACAGTTGATCTAGTTTCTTGTTTGATGTTCCTGGAGTTACTCGATGTGCAGTTTCAATATCTTTGTTGACAGTTGCAAGTATCTCTACTTCACGTATGATTTCTTTTATGCTTTCTTCTTGTATATCTGATACTCCGTGAATGTTGTTATCAGTATTCCTTCCATACTGCCGTGAGTCAGTTGCTTGTGGTTTTAAGGGGTAAAGTTTTCTGTATATTAATACCAATTTTCTGTATTTGGTAGTAAGACTTCGAAATAATATTTTATGTCTATTAAGTCCATTCTTCACGTATTATATTAATACTTCAGTAGTAGTGTTTTATTGGTTATAATCTGTTAATACAGTTCTCTACATCTCATGGTGATACATGAACTGTTAGTGTTTGTCTGATGACTTAGCGGTAAGTTTGAGTACTTATAACGCTAAACCCACGGTGGGCAAAGCACAGATAGCCCATTGTGTAGGTTTGCCCTTAACAACAAACAAAATAAACTCTCTTTACCAGATCCATCCCTAAAATATATATAATTTTGTTTATAAATTAAATCGTTCTATTTTGCACTCATGTAAAAAAAATAAAAAATAAAACTACATTGACTCGAAAAACATTCGAAACCGAGTTTGGAAGAACAATGTTCTACAGTTGGTCTGTCTCATTTCAAACACACATTAGCTAAGATCGAAACTCAAACTATGTTTATATTGTATCAAAGTTCAAACATGATAGTAACATTCCAGAAGAACGAACGAAATTTTCCATATTTTATATAATTCTATTTTAGTCCTGTTCTTGCTGGGAAAGTCTCTCTACAAAATTGTTCCACCGAAAGGAAACATCGTTATCACAGTCATGAAATGCATATGTGTAAGTAAAATGTTCTTTTTTTCTGAGACTTGTAAGTTGATAAACTTTCCCACAAAATCTGCGAAAAAAAAAGGATGCTTAAAATTCCTAAGGAGTCGATTTGTATCATCTATGAAGGAAGTGACTTCGTAACTATGAAAAAAACCCATGTTATTGATTAGTCGGATCATGCCGAAAGCAGAAACAGATTGTTTATATGTATATTACAGATGTGTAGTTTGTTACAAAGAACATTACTACACTATAACGTATGACGTAGGGCAGTACAATACAAATGATATGGAGTAGGCACATTGTGTATATGTTATGTGCAGAAATACAAGCAACGGGTGTAACGTTTTACGGAGGGCACTACAATGTATGTACTATTTTACGCAGGTCTGTACGATGTGTAAAACATTTCACATAGAACAGTATAGTTTTCATAAAGTATTTTGTAGGAGAGTACAATATGTTTCTTCCAGGAAGATAGTAGCTATAGCATATTTTGTAGAGCTGTAAAGTATATAAAAATGTTACTTGTAGCAGAACAGTACATTATCACACATACTTTACAGCTCTACAAAAGATTAACAAGTAACATTTTTGTGGTACAGTACATTATCCCTAATCTTTTGTAGAGCTGTAAAGTGTGTAAAAATGTTACTTGTGGTGGTACAGTACATTATCTCGAACGATTTTTAATGCTGTACAGTATTTAAAATGTTACTTGTATCGGGATGATACATTACCTCTAACGATTTGTAATGCTGTACAGTATTTAAAATGTTACTTGTAGCGGGATGATACATTATCTCTAACGATTTGTAATGCTGTGTAGCATTTAAAATGTTACTTGTAGCGGGATGATACACTATCTCTAACGATTTGTAATGCTGTACAGTATATAAAATGTTACTTTTAGCATGAAATTATCAATAAGTTATATTTTCAGCACGCACTAGGAAGAAAAAGTAGCGCTAAGAAAAATGGAGAACATAGAGAACACTGGTTAGAGTATGCTGATGATAAATACGATGTAAGTATTACTTTTCTCATACAGAATTTCTTTGCACATCCTCTCCACTTAAGATATCTTGACTTACTGTCAGGATGTGTTTTCGGTTTCGGACGTTATGATATTAGCAAAAGTTCACCGAACTTCTTAATGGAGCTTTTCTCATCTGCCTAGTTGCTTATTGTTAGATTTTCTGGAGTTTGGGGGTAATATTTTTATAAATGTTTGCACAGTTTAAATTGTTTAACGATAACTATGGTTAATGCATGTGTATTTGATATTTTTTAACCTCAACGGTTTCTTTTCTAACACCTGGGCTAAACAGCCATGTTAGAGACCTGTTTAGTTCTGGTGTAACCATCTGTCAACCTCCGTCGCCTGTGCTGCATATCCTAACCGACAGACTATTACCGTAAAAGCGTGTTCAACGTTATACTGTAGTTCGACCTTAGACTTTTGATCTATAGCTAATATATCACAGTAAAACTCTCAAACGACAACTGCTTTGATGTTTCATAAATATATTTGTAACATTAAAAGTTTGGTAACAATTAATGCTAAGGTTTTTCAATATTCTCACAATATAAACTGAAACAACAACTGTTAACGTTTTTTTAAGTATTTTCATACTAAACTGATAAACTACAGCTGTTGTACATTTTTTTACAAATATTTTCACATCAGACAGAAAAAATGACAATTATCGTTAATATCTATCTAAATATTTTCACAGTTTAAACTAACAAATAATTAGTGTTAATTTTTTCAAGATGTCCTAAGTATAAGTTTGTCAACAATAACTATTGTCAACGTTCTTAAATATTTTCAAATTAAACTCTCGCCATAACCTGATGTTAATGTTTTGTAAATATTTTCGTAATTTAAATAAAAACTGTTGTTCATATTTTTTGTAAGTATTATCGTACCATAAACAGAAGAACGACCGCTAATATCAATGTATTTTTTCAGCGTAAACTAATAGGAGATATCAAGGATGTGTTGCATGTTTTGAAGTTATATCTACCGCTGCCTGTATTCTGGGCACTTTTTGACCAGCAGGTAAGTTCTGATATTTTTAAACTACAAACAGAGTACGATAGCTCTTTTTAAATAAGGCAAAGCCCCTTCTTTCCGTGTTGTGCCCCGTGGTTCAGTGTTAAGCCTGTGGCTTATAACGCTAAATATCAATGCTTGATACCCGCAGCGCACAAATCTCATATAGCAAAATGTGTAGTTTTCTGTTTTAAAAAAAAAGACAAACAAAGCAAGCCTTACCTCTTTTTTTTTTTTTTTACTGCTGAGTACACGTATGCGTATACTTATGTGTATATACCAGGTGACCGCCCTGAATAACAAAACATGTTGCTGCGGAGCTGATTAGTTGTTGTTGTTATTATTATTAAGCACAAAGCTACCCAAAGGGCTATCTGTGCTCTGCCCACCACGGGTATCGAGCTGATTAGTTATCGTAATAATCTGAGATCAGTTTCTTACTCTGATTCTTTACTCATTAATAATATATTCACGGGATTTCTATCTTAATATCTGAGTTTCAAATTAGTGTAATACTTTTCCTATTAGTTTCATTATGAATTTAAGCCTTATTTAATCACCTTAGGTGAATTATGACCAACAGGAGTTCACTTAAGGGGGCCATCTTTCTAGGTTACAATTCTGTTTCTCTTTTAGAAATACATCTTCGGCTATAATAACAAAGATAACAGATTATATAAACAGCATTCGTTTAAATTAAAAGTAGTTAAGGTTTTTCGTAATGGTCAAAGTAATGACTAGATAAATAAATGTTGAAAATACTCCAAAGTTTTGTCATCGTAATTATATAAATATTATTCTTTCTGTAAAACTTAGGGCTCACGATGGACACTTCAAGCCACTAGGATGGATGGTGAACTTGTAAGTACCGATGTAAAGCAACGGAGCTAAACAAACTACACAGTTTGACAAAAGCAAAACGTTTCAGTGCAACGTTTTTTCGCAACATTAGCTTATTATATTTACGATCATTGCGTAAACATTTCGAGAACTAAACTTTAATTTCACAATTTTGTTTATGTGTAAAACAATTCTTTTTCGTTTTCACGTATTTTCAGTGTCAGTCGCTATTGCACTACTACGTTTGTAAATATGGTGTATTAAATCATTACATCAGCAAAACATGTGGTCAAAGCTTATTGTTTTTGTTTTAATTAAGCCATACTAGATTATATGTTTTATCAAAGTCAATGTACAGAACCACAGAGAAGATTCGAAACATTCAAATATTCTGAACCACCCTCTGTGTGGAAGTTTTAACTACAAGCACATTCTGAACCACCCTCTGTGTGGATGTTTTAACTACAAGCACATTCTGAACTACCCTAGTTAAAACATCCACACAGACAAGCACATTCTGAATCATCATCTGTGTGGAGGTTTTAACTATAATAGCATCATAAACTATACACTGTGTGCAGTAGTGGATCTAGGATTTTGGAAAGGGGGAGTGTGGTCGCCTGGATGGGTGCCATATAATTTTTTTGCATACATTATTTATATCTATGCAGCAGGTGATACATCAAACTTAAATATATTATAAATTATTGGTCTGTAGCTAGGGGAGGTGGGAAATAAAATATTTTATTGAAAT